GCAACTATAGAACTTCCTGCCAAACGTCTCTGGAGCTGTAGACTCTTCCAATCTACATCGAAGGCCGCAATAGCATCGTTCAGGTATCCCAAAGTCTCCATCAGCTTTGGCACACCCGCTGTCATAGCTTGCTTTGGAAGATGAGTTGTTGGTGTAGCTTATCGGCATTACTCTGTAGAGATCAAGCAAACAAACTTGGCAGTTAACAAACAAAAAACTAAAACAGATACGACCACATAATAACTTTGCAGCTAAAAACAAAACAACAAAAACAAACTTTCCAAACAAATATTTCTTACTCGCTAAACAACAAAATAACAAAAAAGGTACATCTTGAAATAAAGAAAAAATCGAAATATTTTTACTTACTTGCTCACGGAATCTGTGAAAAAAGTATTTTTACTTAGATCTGTTAAAAAAACAGTAAAGCAAAAGGACAAAAGAACAATTTTAAAGGACAAACCAGTAAACAATAAGATACGGACTAAACAGAGAATGTAATGGCGAATAACTCACAGATCTGGAGAGATAACTAAGAACGATGAAGACGCCGGCTGAGATCTGCAGCAACAATATATGTAGTGATATATATATGAAACAACATATGCATCAGAAACAGAAAAGAAGAGATGGGGAGCGCCGGGAAAGGCTTACTGCGAGAGAGAGTCGCGGCGAGAGAGACCAGAGTGCAGCGCCGTTTTACAGTGATCTAGGGGTTTTTATTGAGTAATATGAGTATATACCAACAGATAACATCAAAATTAACTGGCTCTGAAAAGTGTTTTTGACTTGATATTGTTAACTGTAAAAAGTCCATAAGACCCCTAAAACATTTATTCTTTTAAAGGATTTCTCTCTCAAGATGTGGGTCCTGAATATTGGAAAATATGTCAGGGAAATATTATATCTGTTTTACACGCAACCGTTGGCAGTCTTCAATACATAATAAAGGAAAGAGAAAACGACAATGGAAAGAGAAAGAAAAAAACAGACAGTTGCCATTTCTTAGCATCCCTATTTTGTTAACAATGATATGTATTAGCATCCCTACTTGTTAACAATATGTAATACTTACAATGTGTTAACTAGTATGTTAACATATTAACAATAATATTGTACTTATAACGTTTTGATAATACTTGTTATTATTGTTACCATGTTACCAAATATCGGATAACACGTCAACAAACACTATCCATTATTGTTAACATCTTAATAAATATCTGATATTTTTGTTAGCATGTTAATAAGTATCATATATTTTATTGCATCATAATAACATGTTATGTTTACATGTTACAATATTAGATATTATTGTTAACAAGTAAATAAGTTAACATATATCATTGTTAACAAGTAGAGATGTTAATATATATCATTGTTAACATACAACAAACAGTATTATTAACATGTTAACTTGTATTAAATATCATTGTTAGCATAACCCGGACAAACGATAACACTCATATATAGTTATCGGATATATGTACATTAAAGTTAGCAAACGTTAACAATAATACATAGACTATTATGTCGTCATCTACCACATAATACTTAGATACATCATATCTTGTGGCAGACGACATGTGTCATTATCCAGGAGAAAGAGAACTGATATTTGTTTAATATAGATGTCAGTCTTGACATCATGAGCAATAGGGGTAAATTGGAGAGAAATTGCTGACGTGGAGTGGAAGAACTAATTTTTAAGTTTCTTTTGGTATCTACTTAATTTTTTGGTCAACTTTTGGTATATAATAAAATCACCCTTTTTTATTTATGGTAACGACTGGTAAGTTTCTTTATATACTATGTTAAAAAAAAATTTCGGTTAGGTTAATTATTCTGGTTTGACAAGACTTCGATCCGTTGTCTGCTGAGCAGACTGATAAAGAAGTCTGCAGCCCTAGTTTAAAACTTTTCACTTTTTATGTTTATCTTAGATGGTTAAAAATGATTCATATTTATTAAATTATAATTTTTGTAGATCATACTTGTTGACATTTGATTTATAGAAACAAATTTCAGTTTACATTATTTTTATATAATTTTAAAATTTAAAACTAAGATTTATTAATATAGTAGACTTCTTTATCAGTCTTCTGAGCAGACTGATAAAGAAGTCTGCAGTCCTAGTTTAAAACTTTTCACTTTTTATGTTTATCTTAGATGGTTAAAAATGATTCATTTTTATTAAATTATAATTTTTATAGATCATACTTGTTGACATTTGATTTATAGAAACAAATTTCAGTTTACATTATTTTTATATAATTTTAAAATTTAAAACTAAGATTTATTAATATAGTAGACTTCTTTATCAGTCTTCTGAGAAGACTTCATTAGTATTTGCAGACTTCGCAGGGTTATAATCGTAATCGAGACATCCGTTTTATTGTTTACTCATGTAGGAGATAATGGTAATTTCTCTACCCCTCTGACCTATTTTTGCAATAGGTTGAATTTGGGGTATACTTTTGCATTTTGAATCAAATTGTGGCCTATTTTTAGCAATTCCCCCGAATATCAGAGAGGAATATTTATTTGTTCTTCGATCTTCATATTTTTTTATTCTTGTAAATCTTACTAATATAATATTTGTTAACTTTCTCAATTTTCTATTTTGAATATTTTTTTGTTATAGATATATTATTGATTCCATCTTTTTTTTATTTAAAAAAAAACATTTTAAAAAAACCATATTAAACATTTTTATGTGGACACCCTTCTTTTTACTATTATTTTTTTAATAACTTTTATCTCTTTAATCATTTATTAAATCTACTTTGTTTTTTATAATTTTATTAATTGAATTTTTATATAAGATTATTTGAAACTTCTTAACTTATTCAGTCTCATAATTATTTTTGACTTGCATTAAATTTAATTATATTTTTAGTTTGAAAATAAAATTTAAAATCACTTGAGGAAAGAAAATAAAATGGTGTATTTAAAAAGTTTGTACTATATAATATTTATAAGTTTTTATATATTTAAATTAACTTTTGAATTTCATTCTAATATAAATATATATTAATATTTACTTATGTTATTTAATATATTTTCTTTAAATTTTATTAATTATTTATTTTTTTATTACTTTAAATGGACATATGTTACTTTTTTCACTTCTGATGTGTCATTCAACTGGAGAGAGATGAACAACTTTTATGTATAAGATTTGTAATAAATAATGAGAATTGCCATTAACTACTAACAAATAACATAAAAATTAAATAAATACTAAAATATGATTTAAAATTAAGTAATTAAGTAAGAAAAAAAATAAAAAGAATCCATTTATATCCTTTTAATTCCATATAACTACATATGATACCATCAATATGAAACCTGTATTAACATACAATAAAACCGTCGACAATATTCACCATCAGCTGCCGAGACTATTCACCATCAGCTGTTGATACTGTTTACCATTAGCGGCCAACACTGTTCATTCAAAGTCTATGACACCATTCATAATATACCAGTTAGTGTGCTAACAACAATATCAAATATTGGTTAACATTTTAACAATGATATATGTTAGTATCTCTACTTGTTAACAATAATATGTAATACTTATAACATGTTAACTAGTTTGTTAATAATATTATACTTATAACATGTGGACAATACATGTCATAATTGTTATCATACCAACAAATGTCAGATAACACGTCAACAAACAATCTTTATTACTGATAACATCTTAATAAATATCTAATATTTTTGTTAACACTTTAACAAATATCATATATTTTATTGCACCATAGTAATATACTATGTTAAATATGTTACAATATTCAAATATTATTGTTAACAAGTAAATATGTTAACATATATCATTGTTAACATATAACAATAGGCATTGTTAAGAAACAACAAAAAAATTTTATTAATAAGTTTCTGTTGACTGTTTATGTTTCTACTCTAAGCAGTTTGGCAATAATTTTAGAATTTTTTTTGTTGGTTATTATTTATGGATTAATTCACTCAATATGGTAGGTTGACCAAAAAATTAAGTATATACTAATGGATAACTTAAAATTAGTTTTGTAGGAAAGAGAAACTTTTTTAGCCCATAATATCCTTCTTCTTTTTTTTTAGTACTCATATTGCTATTAACACGTAAAATATGTTGTCAATAATTCAATTGGGTGATACTGTTTATAAATTCCCCCATAACACTGTACAACTACAAATTAAGCGGTGAAAACTATTCATCATCTGTAAAAATAATATATGGTACTTAGTAGTGTGTTAACAATAAAATGTAATATTAACATGTTAACAATGACTTTTAATAAGTGATCAAATTTGTGATGGATTGTTTATAATCCGAGAAACAGTAATTTCTTGATACATTCTAAGTTTCTTTGATACATTTTTATTCTCTTGATCAGAAGGGTTAGATACATTCCATGCAAAGGTAACTAATTTTAAAAAATATTTAATAAAAAAAAGAACTTCGCGTGAAGGATATAATTTGTTCGCTCATGTAAGGTCAAATGACTAACCTGCCTCACATGATTAGGCTGCCATAATAAAACCGAATTCAAACTACAATACACATAATTTTACACAGCATAATTCATCTCTAGTTATAATTTTTTTCTTTCAGACATTCATCTCTCTAGACTCTAGTCATAATTTTATGAAAGAAAAACATCCGTTTTTAGTGGTTATTACTAATTAGTGCGAATTAATTAATTGCTTTTATTTATCAACGAGAATATATGTATAGTCAAATGGAGGTTCTTTCTATTTAGTAGTTTTCCATATTCATGAACAAAGACGAAAAATGATGGTGGAATGGTGGAATGAGAAACGGTAGCAAATTAAACGTTCCAATCAAGTCATTAAGATGGAAACTACATTATATTGCCATTAATATATTCATAATTAGAGAAACAATTGTTAAGGACTTTGATTGCGTTCTTAGACCCCATACATAAGCTCTTCCTATAAGTTATCGTTTCATTCTCGCAATCTAAGACATCTTAATTTAACTCATTGAAAGAAAAAAAATGGCAAAACCTGCATGCTCCTATTGTCTCCTCTTTGCCTTGCTAGTGAGTTTTGCCTCAGCAGCCAAAGATGATCAAGATAAACAGGTAATCTCCTGAATCCTTTGTTAATTATTATGATAATCTCTTGGTTACATAATTATTAACTTATTTGACAAACCATGATTATGAATTGATGATTATGATGATGATGATGATGATGATGATGATAACAATATTCCTTTGTAGGTATATATAGTATACATGGGTGCACTTCCTGCTCGTGTTGACTACATGCCAATGTCCCATCACACGAGTCTTCTTCAAGAGGTCATCGGAGAGAGGTGCAATTAATTATTTTCATTTTTAACAGCATAAGGCATAACTGGAATTGATAAATGAAATTTAATCGATCAAATCCGGGTTTGATTATTTGTATACATATAGTAATAGTTTCATTTTAATCGATCTAAGTCATAGATCGATAAAGATCCTATAACTAACGTATTTCCTTGTTTATGCAGTTCCATCGAGAATCGATTGGTTAGGAGTTATAAAAGGAGTTTTAATGGATTTGCTGCTCGGCTAACAGAATCAGAAAGAGAGATACTAGCTAGTAAGTGTTCTAATTGAGGGGTTTATTCGACCCGAAAATTTTCAAAAATATACATGTGCTTATATTAATCAACTTTGTCTGTTTTAACAATTTTGAGAAAATGTAACTTTTTATTGTATTCATTGTTTAGATATGGAAGATGTTGTATCGGTGTTTCCTAGCAAGAAACTGAAGCTCCAAACGACGATGTCTTGGGATTTCATGGGTCTCAAGGAAGGTAAAAGGGCGAAACGAAACCCTAGCATCGAGAGCAATACGATAATCGGTGTCATAGACAGTGGAATCTACCCTGAATCCGAAAGCTTCAGTGACAAAGGCTTTGGTCCTCCTCCGAAGAAATGGAAAGGTGTTTGTGAAGGCGGCACAAACTTTTCTTGCAACAAGTAATAAAACCACTCATACTAATCACACAGTTAAATTGCGTAAAGATATGTAATTCTTGTAGTTTGAATGTGAAAAACCCGATGCGTGTTGTTGTATAACAGCAAGCTTATTGGAGCAAGGTCCTACACACCCAAAACAAATGAGTTTCCTCACTCAGCAAGAGACAACATGGGACATGGAACGCACACAGCTTCTACAGCAGCTGGAAACGCTGTGAAGGACGTGAGCTTTTACGGACTAGGAAATGGAACCGCGAGAGGAGGCGTTCCAGCCGCAAGAATAGCGGTTTACAAAGTATGTGAGGCCGGATTCGAAGGGTGCACTGGTGATGGAATTCTATCGGCATATGATGATGCCATAGCTGACAACGTGGACCTCATCACCATCTCCATCGGTGGGGATACCGGTCAGCCGTTTGAAGTTGATCCGACCGCTATCGGGGCTTTCCACGCCATGGCCAAGGGTATCCTTACTCTGAATTCAGCTGGAAACAGTGGTCCAGAAAGTAGCACTGTATCGAGCATTGCTCCATGGATCTTTACCGTTGCTGCTAGTAATACGAACCGCGGATTCGTCACCAAAGTTGTTCTCGGAGACGGCAAGACAGTTGTCGTGAGTACCAAGAAACACATCATTGTTCTTAATGAAAACTCACCATCGTATCTTGTCCTCTGCTAATGATAATTCTTGTTGGCAAAACAGGGAAGATCGGTGAATTCCTTTGATCTTAAAGGAACAAAGTACCCTCTAGTGTACGGAGAATCAGCAACAAGAAGTTGTGATGCTGATTCCGCCAGGTAACTTCCGTCACAAGAAACGTTTGATCTTCATACCTTTTTGCCCTTTCACACATAGCCGGTTTAAATGGTAATTTGGCGGTTTCAGGTTCTGCTCACCGGGATGTCTAGACAGTAAACTTGTGAAGGGAAAGATTGTGTTGTGTGACTCCGCTGAACATCCCGATGAAGCTCAAGCTATGGGAGCCATTGCATCCATTACTAAGAGCAGCAAAGCAGACTTCGCCACCATCTTCTCTTTCTCAGTCTCTGTTCTGTCGGAAGACGACTACAACACTGTCCTCTCGTATATGAATTCCACAAAGTAGACCTCGTCTCTTCTTTTCATTGTATGAATTCCGCAAAGTAGACCTCGTCTCAATCTCAAAGCTTGCTGTCTCATAGCTTGCTCTTTTTGGTATTGGACAGAAACCCTAAAGCGGCTGTTCTGAAAAGTGGGACGACCTTTAAGCAGACAGCTCCCGTCATTGCTTCTTACTCTTCCCGTGGTCCAAACACAATCATTCCTGATATTTTGAAGGTAATATATAGAAAAGGAGAAGATATCAATTGCTTGTATAGGTCTTTCTAGCATTTGTTTTTCTGATTGAATGCTGAATTTAATTTGCAGCCGGATATTACAGCGCCGGGTTCAGAGATACTCGCTGCTTATTCTCCTGATGCTCCACCGAGCAAATCAGACACTAGACATGTAAAGTACTCTCTTTTGACCGGAACTTCAATGTCTTGTCCACACGTTGCTGGTGTAGCCGCCTACCTAAAAACGTTTCACCCTCGCTGGTCTCCTTCCATGATCCAATCTGCCATCATGACTACCGGTAAGCAACATAAGATGCACTCTGTTTTTAGAATACCCTGCTGTTTTTGCTTAGGAACATAGCCTCCTTGTGTCGCAAGAAATACTCAAACTACTCTGTTTTTGGGGTTGTTTCTTGCAGCTTGGCCAATGAATGCATCTGCTTCTCCGATCAACGAGATGGACGAGTTTGCTTACGGAGCAGGTCATGTTGATCCGATAAGCGCAATTCATCCTGGACTTGTCTATGAAGCTAATAAATCCGATCACATCGCTTTTCTCTGCGGCTTGAACTACACCGGAAAGAACTTAAAACTCATCTCCGGCGATAGCGTCAGTTGCACTAAAGAACAGACTAAATCATTACCCCGAAACCTAAACTATCCTTCCATGACTGCTCAAGTCTCGGCCACAAAACCGTTCAAAGTTGCTTTCCGTAGAACAGTCACAAACGTCGGAATGTCTAACTCTACTTACAAAGCAAAGGTAGTTGGAACTAAACTCAAAGCCAAGGTTGTGCCCGGTGTCTTGTCGTTTAAGTCCTTGCACGAGAAGAAGTCTTTCACGGTGACAGTTTCAGGCAAAGGTCCCGGAGCTGAAAAACTTGTGTCTACACATCTTATCTGGTCTGATGGTTTCCACTCTGTGAGAAGTCCCATCGTTGTTTACGCATCATACTGATGAGTCAGAATCAGTTTCTGTCTCAATATGTTATCGTCGATTATGATTGTTAATTCTTAGTGTTCATGCTATGTTAGCTGTTTATGATGTTTCTTGTTCCTTTACCTACTTTAGTTCTAAACCTTGAATTAAGAGATTGTTCTTTGCATAATTTTTCATGTTTTTCATTATACATTGGTCGACGCTAAATATCAAAAACCTCATTAGAATCAATCATAAGAAAGTTTTGATGTAATTTGGAGAACTATCAAGGCATCATACAATTGAGCATGAAAAAGAAAAGATATTATAATTGTTTTTAAACGATTCTGTTTTCGAAGTTCACTACCGAAGAATTAGTTCTGAAATACTGAAATCCTGATTGAACGCCTCTACTTAAAACTGTCGTTTTGTAAATTTGCTACAAGAGTAGTATGTGATGCCGAGGAGACACGAATCAAGGATTCACACCATGAGAGTATCGATATAAGACCAAGAGGTGGTAGCAATTCTCTATTTATATTTTGAAAAAAAAATATCAATATACAAACTAATAGCTTAGAATAATTTCAGATATACAATGAGCATAAAATTAGAAATACAATCAAATTTAATTCATTAATACAGTATATAAGGTAAATGATGAACGTGGTCAACATAAAAGTAATTGATTTTCTTGTTCAAACAAAATTGTAAGATAAATGGTTTACGTGGTCAGCGTAAGAAATAATGTAACGAGTTTTCTTGTTCAAACAATCAAACTACAATTTATTTGTTTCCATATGAAAGCATATAACTAATGGCTATATAATGAGAACATCAATAGTCAGAATTCATGTAAAATCAAAGAAATAAAGCTTTACTAATTAAAAGAGAAAAAGGATGACATGGCTCATTTTCTTCGCTATCCTCCATGTGAGTCGTCAGGCTGCACCGATCCAAGGTGTTGTGCTTTGGGTACACTTTCTTTCTCATCTTCGTTTTAAGTTTTACATACAATATTTTTTTAAGATAATTAAATTACTAAGAAAAGAAAATAAATATTAAAATTCTTAGGAGGAAAGTTTGAGTGGCCAGAACTTGTTGGAAAAAGTGGAGAAATAGCCAAAATGACGATCGAAAGAGAAAATCCAAATGTTTTAGGGTTTATCATGCCATATGGGACCTTGAGGATTGAAGACTTTTGCTGCAACAGGGTTTTTATCGTTGTAGGTTCTAAGGGACATGTTGTAATGATTCCTAAGATCGGCTAGTTGATTTTTGTAGACCTATAATCTCTATATGTTTTACCTTATGTTCAAATAATCGTTAGGCGGTAGGCAGGTGGACGGACTCCGATTAACGCCTAGGCCAAAAATCGGTGATTAATCGGTTGCCTAGCGGCCTAACACGAGTTTTACCATTAATAATAATAAAATAATTATCAATAAGCCATCATGGCATTTGCTATAAACTGCTTCTTTCTTTCAATTATCTAGTTATTATATAAGCTTATAATAATGAGATTCTCTAGATTCAATCGACCTCCTCAATCGCGATCAACCTTTTCGTTCTAGAGTAATAAATTGTTAATTGTTGCACACTATCATAGCTTAATCGTCCATATTTAAATTTGAAGCTCAAAAGTTAGGGTTTGAGAAAACAAATTTCATTCATAGAAAAAAAAAAAAAAATTTCACCAAGTGTTCATCAGTGATAGTAGATTATCTTCTCGCTTGCTGATTAGATATTTGATGGACTAATGGCTTTCTAGTCTGTGAATTCAATCGCTACCAACTCGGATTACTATTCCATGGTTTATTCTCATGAGTTCACCTTCACTGTAAACACCTTACCACGAAACCTAAACTATACACATTGATGACTGATAGTCTCAGCGACATAACCGTTCAACATGACGTTTCATAGAACAGCTACAAAACGTCGGTATACCTTACACTACCTACAAAGGAAACATAGTCGGATTGAAACTCAAATAAATGTTGTTCCTAATGTCTAGTCTCTTAAATCGGTGTACAAAAATCACGGTGACCATTTCAGGCAAAGCTCCCGAGCCGGAAAACTGTGTATGCACATTTGATATTGTCTGACGGCTTCCAATTTTTTGAAAAGCCAAATTGTTTTTTATGCTGAAAACTATAATTTTTTATTTTTGGAATAAAAAAAGGGAGATTAACTAGATTAACCTTAATTTTTACAATTATTACTAGAACGACTTACTAAAAATTTAGGTTATTCTAGTAGTAATCGTACCTAAACTACCCTTATAAACTTGTAGGAAAAAAAATATAACAAAAATGCCATTATCAATTAATTTCCACGTCAGCAAAAATATCACTTTATTTTTTGCCACCGTTTTTCTCTACTTGAATATGTCTGCCAAACTCCAAATTCTATAAATCTATCAACTTAATTACAACAGATTTGTTAGAGTGTAATAGACTTAATTACAGATGATAGATTTTTGGTCGATTGTCAGACTTAATTAAATAAATCTATTGCGTATGATGAAAGATTTAATTACCTATGGCAGATTTGATTATATAACACAGACTTATTTAAATAAATCTGTGTTGCATTGTGAGAGATTTAAAGTTTTCACAAACACTTATAGAAATTTTCCAGACTTATTTTTGGTACATACAAATTTTAAATTAATTTACCATAAAGTCCATAAATATGTTTCAAATTTGGCATTTTTAAAATACAAAACGTAAATGTATGACATATTTATTATTAATCTGACAGAGTTATCCTTCGAAGACATGATAGAGATTTGGCTATGGTGACAATGTTATAATCATGTTGAATAAATCTATGAGTTCACAGATTTATTCAAGCGTTACTTTAATTACCAATATGACTCTTATGTCATGATAGAGTTATTTATATGATATAAAAAACTTATAAATATCTGCTATTTGGTGGCAAATTTACAATGTCAACAACATAGCAAATTTGTTTTGTTACTAGATTAACCTTTCTCTGGTAAAAAACTTATTTTCGGCAGATATATAAATTTTAATGTTGGTAAAGATTTGTAAATAGACTTACCGAATACTTATGGTAGAATTAAACAGAAACTGTTATGATATACTTTTACAAACAGATTTAATTTCAAGATATGAAAAATATTTTAGCCACGGTATATCCATAATAACCCTTATTAATCTTCCTAAAACACGATCATATCAAACATTGGTTTCCCTAGGGTTGCCGCAAGTTCTATCTGTTCTTTTTGTGATAGACTCATCAGAGGTTTTCGACAACTATGGAGCAAGTGATTTTTGTATGTGGACATTGGCAGTTTGAAAATTGCATGTGGCTATTTGTTGTCGATAATACAAGAGGGTACAAAATTCTAGCTGCAAATAAAAGTACACAGTATGCTGATTTCCTATGCATGGTTTTGAGGATTATGGTTTAGACGAGAATATGCACGTGGTAAAGCTTAGCTACATATTACCAAAGAGGATATTTAGCAAACTCGCACGGGATACACAACCTGTTTTTGTTCAAAACTGCAGACAATTTCAAGGCTTCCTAGTCAGTTTGTGTCTAACACAGTAAAGATGTGTGTTGAGATAAGCAACAAAGCCCAAGACAAAATGAACACAATGGATTGTGAAGAAAGAAAGGGAGAAATCAATTCTGATCAGCTGATGACAAGTCTATTATAGTAACTCTATCGTCACTTAAAAAAAAAAATATGCCACAACAGAAATGATTGCCATCAAAATGTTATAGAACAAGTTTACTATGAAAATCTACTATAACTATATTTTAACTTTGCCATAACCTAATAAAACTATCTTACAAGCAAAAAAAGTGTAGCATCACAACGTCATATAAAGAAATATGCCACCAAACTGATTTAAATTTACATAAATCTGTTATCCAAAATATGGAACACACCGTGAGCAGACGGTGGTTAGAGTTTGTTTCTCTTCTCGTTAAAAATCAATAGGGAGAAATCTTTACAACAACCCAATATTGTTTGGTACAAAACAAATTCTTCAAAAACTACAATAGCTTAAACGAAATTCAAAGCATCCATCTCCACATTTTTGAACTGGTATGTTGGAGAAGACGGAGGTGCGCGTTATGCATGAGTGAAGCCGCCTACGGATCTGCAAGAGAGAAAAAAAAGAGAGTTAGCGGCGAAGAAAACAGATAGAACGAGAGAGCGTGAGATTAGCAAGTGAGAGAAATAAACAGAGAAAAAAAGATTTGGATGTTGGGTTTAAGATCTTACCTATCGATGAGAAGGAGGCCGGAGTTGGTTGACCACTGACCAGTGGCGGCGTATGTAAAGAGGAGAAAAGAGAAGAATGTCATCAATGATTAGGGTTAGTAATGTTTATTTTCTTAATAAATGTGTAAAAAAAATATTTTTACTACTTAATAATTGATGATTGTGTAAATTAGTGATTTTTTCTTGTAAAATTAAATCAAAATAGCACAACTGTGATTATCGAAAAAAACTAAGGTTTACTGGTCTTTTCTAATTAAAATTAGAGTTATTCTAGTAAAACTTTCAACAGAGAATCATTCTAGTCATTTTTATTAAAACTAGAGTCAATCTAACTAATTTCTCATAAAAAAACCTATGTGTGAAGATTAGATTATTAGCATTGTGATGATTTGTTATAATTTAAACCTTGTCCGTTATATCAAAAGAGTCATGATTATTATAAAAGATTTTTGATGTAATTTGGAGAGTTACAAATTCATCCATAACCATTTTTTGTTTACATCAACTTTTTTTTAATTGACGAAATCTATCACCCATCTTTAAGGTTTGATTGGTAGAGTTTTTACAAGAGCATTAAACTTTTTATCATCCAATCAAGTTTTATTAATAAAACATTTTAAAAAGTATTGGGAGCTTCCAAATACTCTTTTAATCTTTATTTTCACATGCAACTTATTGCGATGGCAAGGAGAAAAAATTCAAGTTAAATCAACTCAAAAATAACATGAGAGCAAACTCGTACAATACAACCGACCCAAGAGTGTTATAAGGGCGTATGGTTTTCAAACGCAACACCCAAATACTCTTTTTCTTTCATGGCTTGCTATGCACAATAAATTATCGATGGGAGATAGAATAATCACCTGAAATGTTGGAGGAATATTTCATGCATTTTAATTTATGCCAAGCTGTAGGAAATCAAAATCATTTTTTTAGTAGCATACTGCATATGCTTCTTATGCCACTGGCATACTATATAAAAAAATTAAAAACTGATTTGAAATCGAACTGAAATCCCGATTAAACACGTCAATTTAAACGCTGTTGTTTTTATAAATTTACTATATCATTTTGACATTTTGTGTTTTTTAGTTATACTAGGTGAGTATCCGCATTATGCGCGGGTTTTAGCTGTAAAGTTGTCATTTTAAATGTAATAGTCAACTAATAATCTTTATATTTATTAAAAATTATATATAACATTCTAAATAATTTGTACGTTTTCAATACTATATTCCTATATTTTCCTTACAACTATATTGTCATTTAGCAGACATATATACATACAATCTTAATGAACAAAAAACGACCAAAAAAATTAGGGAAAGCTGTTTTGGGTACCAAAGAGCAGAGGAAGGAGCACACATAAAATTTTATTGTTTTGCCACGTTTAAGTAACCATAAATTCATCTTAAACTCCCGAATTTGAGTCCCTCCCATTGTGTTTTCATTTTGTACTGTCGTTTTAACAAACAACGAAACCAACCATTATAAGTTTTTTAGATTAATGGCTTTAATATAATGCAAGTGTGAAAGATATAAATATTCATACAAGGAAGCATGATGGTACATGTTTATTCGAGAGTATAGACGCACACATACTACATAGTCGCATGACAATAAAATGTAAACCAATGCCTTAATATGCGGCAAAGCCTTCATTTCTAATAGATCATACCCAACTTCTAGTTACAATCTAAGAAGATCAAGAAGATGTTTAATATTTGAATCCTAAAACTTTAGTGTTTAGATAATAGATATCTATGCTTTAGTGTTTAGATTTTAGAAAATTTGAAGCTTGAAACTTCTTCTGGAGTCTTTGTTGCCATTTGATCTACGACATGAACTACGTTCTGACGCTCCTCCCAAATGGCTTTGTAGACCATTCTTTGCATGCTCACTCTAGGTTGTCCCTCAGATGTCGATATACCACATAGATGCTCAATAAACAGACATACATTAATTAGGCAATATGGTGTTAAGTAAGAGTCAAAGAGG